AGATAGACAGACAGATAGATAGATAGATAGATAGATAGATATATAGACCGACAGACAGACAGACAGACAGACAAACAGATAGATAGATAGATAGATATATAGACAGACAGACAGACAGACAGACAGATAGATAGATAGATAGATAGATAGATACATACATACACAGATACATAGATACATAGATACATAGATACATAGATACATAGACAGACAGACAGACAGACAGACAGACAGACAGACACTCACTCTCGCGGAGTTTTCCGCCAGATTGTACGTGTGTGCAACGCACGACACGTGTTTGCGCAGGGGCGCGAACACACGGGATACGATTATATATATATATATATCGACAATGTATTCATTGTACATCGAGCTCAATGGCTACACTATGCTGCAGTAAACTATGGCGTAGAATGGTCGATGCGCGTAGCGTAGAGACGCTCTGCTTTGCCATGGCTGGAACCGCGAAAATACCTATTCCGCGGAAAATATACAGAATTTCTCATTTTAGCTCAAGCAATGCGGATCGGCCTTACTACACACAGTGTTTAATAAGCTCGACAAAATACAGTGGTAGCCGAGTGTGTAGTAGTAGTTAGTAGCAAGTGGCTAGTATCGTACCTGCTAGACGTGTTACGTACCATACCATTACGAACTCGTCATATTGTACTTCCAGGCAAACAATCACAGAGGAAAGACAATGCACCAATACTCGGCCGTGTTCCGCAGGGTTCTTTGGTCGGCCCAGCTGCTTGGTGCTACGACGTAGCCAGTCATGCCGCGTCGATCCTAGTGGACGCGGTTGCATAAGGTGAGGGTGAAAATGAAGGCAGCACAGATAATATCACAGAACTTTACGAAACAGTTCTACTTCACACTTCTACTAAACAGTTCAAGATAATATCAAATTTAAAGGAATATCGTGAATAACCATTTAATTCTCATTAAATTGTATCATATTTTTCTATATTCTCATATTTTATTCATAAGTTCTATTCATTGAAGATCTAGGTACAATCACGACGAAGTGATAATCTACCAAATAACGTTTTTTACATACTTCGGCAGATCATCGCCACACTGTAGACGGTACTGCTGTAAGGATTTCTATCTGGACCTTGATGACAAATGTATAGGATTGCCTACACAACAGCAACCAGCACAACGAACCAGAGGAAACAGCTCCAAACCCTACTAAGGTTATTGTAATTAATCATAGAATATAAAACGGAGATACAAATCCAATATGTAATCGTGCATGGCAAGGTTTGGTATGTCTCCCAACCATTCTGTAAAGTCAGAGAGAAATTATTAGCTCACCGCACAGAACCTACCCCACCAGCCCTTAAGCCCACCGCACACCAGACGATTTTTACAAACGATGAAACGATGAAGCGATGAAACGATGAAACGATGGTGTGCGGGGGCCTGAATATGCGAGCTGAGAAAAAAATACAATGCGTCCAAGCGAACAATCAAGCGAACAATGCGAATTGAGTGTGGAAATTTACACAGCCACTCGCACACGCTGTTCAATCTTCCAAGGTCACGCGCACACCACAAAATCGCGTCCAAATAATCGTTCCAAAATCAAACATGTTTGATTTTGGAACGATCGTCCGATAAAAATAAAATCGTCTACAAATGAACCCGCACACCTACATCGTTTCATCGTTTCATCGTTTCATCGTTTGTAAAAATCGTCTGGTGTGCGGTGGCCTTTAGACGCTGTTACGTTCTGCTGCCTGCTATTACAGTATTACTGCAGTCGACTTGAACTAACCGGATGTACCTTGTTTGTTGGTTTATCAATTTGAAGACAATCACAGTATTCATTTGTTTGGTGCATTTTAAAGACCTAATTTCACTAAACACGGAAAAATAACATTTTCGTGAATGTTGTTTTGAAAGGAAATTAAATGACATTCATATTAAAAACCAATATTTTTATACTTATGATACAGCAGTTATATATTTATTATTATTATTACAAATGTACAATATAGAAATTTTCTTTACGAAAAAAGATGCAAACCAGACATGTCATAGTCAACAGCAATTCAACTATGATTGGCTAACTAATATACGACTTTTAAGTAGATCATTATCACAAATTATGGTAATTTCTCATGCAACGCTTCCTTACAATACATTGCGATGTGCATATCATATCATATGATAAAAAGACATGATATAATAATCAATTTATGTGATGCTAAATATCTGTCCATTCACAACAAGAGCTAAATTATACATCACTTTTAAAACGTATGACCTCCTCCCCAAATAATGGAAATTATCTTATTTCTAATCTATGAAAGCTCCCCAGCAAAATTCACACTGAAAAGTGGCAGTGTAAACTTCAGACTTTTTTTAACAACAATTTTACTTTCTTACATTAAACTAATGTTTTTAACAAATTTCTAACAATTTAACAAACAGATTCTTTACCCATTACGAGTATCAAAAAGAATGCTACATCCTAGCTGTTTTGGAATAGTACAGTACCCACTTGCTTAGGTAGGGTGTAAGCGAAAAATAAGCACCACATTGTGCAATTTTGTGAGTTTAAACAAAGCTATAAATGTATGTTGTGAAGAGAGACTCAGAGTTCAAGGTTGACATAAATCTCAAGGCCGCAGATTTACTTGATTTTTCAAATGCCGAGTTTTAGCCATCAGAAATCTCACAATGCACATTTTTAAGATTTATAAGTTATATATTTTAGGAGTGATATTTGTTCAAACTACATATATAGATATTCGTATGTATCAAAACAATGGAGTAAGCCACTCCTACACATCAAACAGGTTGTGTCCTTGCACACAGAACCTTCGTCTGATCGTGCTACAAAGAACATTTCTAAATTATTTGTATAAAGTTGAAAGGGTATTTGTTTCTATACATTATGCAATGCTCACGATAAGAAATAAACTCTGTGAGCAAAAGAGTTAGAACTATGAAGAGAGAAACTATGGAAAAAATTCCGTCAACCAATTACTACTAGCTAGATAAGCAGGATGGACGTAAGAATGTCAGACTAAGTAGCCGAACACTTATGATGGCGTGAAAGGTGAAAGGTGTTATGTGCTGAAATATTCTAGGGGTATACATGCATATATTTGAGTCATTGCAAGTTTACTCAAATTTTAGTATTGTTAAAAAGATGACATTTCTACACGACTTAATGTAAAATTCAGCAGAGAATCACTGGAGAACTTGTAGGCTTGGCATCAATATCTAGCAAGCAACATGCTGCTTTAGTAAAATGTGAAAATGTAAGAAAAACTGTTATACCCCAACTGTATAGATAAATATCAGCAAATGACGAAAGTACAAAGAAAGTGGGTTTACACAAAGGTAACTTAAGATATATGCTTCAGGAAGTCTGACTTGGCTAAGTTGGCTCCACGAATCTTTTGCACTTACTTCTCAGTGTTACCACTATCTTTGTCCTTGTCTTTGTGGTTGGCAGGTTTGAATGGGAGAGACATCTGCCCACGTTCGGGTTCAGGCATTTCGTATACACGCATCAGGTTGGAAAGCCGTAAGTGACTGAAAACGTAGTGCAGAATGCATCCAGTGTGTGTATAGAGACTAGCAAAGATTTTCTGCAGCAATATTCAACAAGTTCTGAAAATCGGACTCATCAAAACAGTTGTGAACTTGAGACACGGAAACAGACTGACCTCATATCGAGTGGCGTGAAGAAAATGAACTGCCTGTTTCTCTGTTCTTTGGCCACTACCAGCATCATGTCCATACAGAGCCGTCGGTTGACCATGTCCTGAAACAGCAGACCGATGCTATACTAGCAGACAACATTCACTATATAGACATTCTAAGAGACAAAACTCACCATATAAACATACTGGAAGACAACACTAACCATATAGACATACTGGTAAACAGTGCTCACCCTGTAGACAGGCTGGGAAAGAGAACTCACCATATAGACATACTAGGAGACAACACTCACCATATAAACATACTGGAAGACAAGACTAACCATATAGACACGCTGGGAGAGAACTCACCATATAGACATACTAGGAGACAACACTCACCATATAAACATACTGGAAGACAAGACTAACCATATAGACACGCTGGGAGAGAACTCACCATATAGACATACTAGGAGACAACACTCACCATATAAACATACTGGAAGACAAGACTAACCATATAGACACGCTGGGAGAGAACTCACCATATAGACATACTAGGAGACAACACTCACCATATAAACATACTGGAAGACAAGACTAACCATATAGACACGCTGGGAGAGAACTGCACCATTGTAAGTCACTCATACTGGTAACTATACAGTCCCCCATGGTGACATCTCTAGTGAGAGAGAGCTAGATTCACACATGTAAGCCATACTGGTAAACAACAGTCACCATGTAACATACTAGTAGAAGTGCACAACAACTCACCATGTTATAGACTATACTAGGAAAGAGAGATCAGCTCGACTAGTACCATTACGGAGAACAACATTGAACCATGTGTGACATACTAGTTAGATCACAACCTCCCATGTAGACGTCGTACTCGGTCCAGCATCATTACAATCTGCACGCGACTGAGATGTGCCTTCGAAGAATTGACTTGCCCTTCACTGCCCATCGCGTCCCAGACAGTGCCGAGCACGAAGCAGGTACGGGTCGAAGCCGAAGCGTTTCCCTCTCCTGACAGCGAGCGGTGTCCTTGGTGGCAGACGCCGTGCCCAGCCTGCGGCCCTACCATGCATGCAAAACACACAATGATTGGTAGCGTGCAAGGTCACGCGCCGTCAACATCACATTGAGCGACGATCCTTCGTTCACGTGATATTGCAGTCGCATCGCCAATCAAAATCGAAGAACACGAGCTCAAAGACTGTTCCAGAGGAGCACAAAAGCGTACCCGTTGTTTGAAAGACCATCTCCGACACAGAGAAGTAGAATGACGTAGGGGAGGGTCACGAGGCTCTCTCTCTCTCTCTCTCTCTCTCTCTCTCTCTCTCTCTCTCTCTCTCTCTCTCTCTCTCCCTCTCTCTCTCTCTGTCCTACTCACCACTATTTCGAGCACCTCCTTCTTGTGATCGAACATCATGCGACCGCTGCACTGCCTCTCCTCTAGCATGATGTTGAAGATGTTGCGCACACGCAGCGAGATCATGCGACGAAACTGAAGGCACGACGACTCACGCTCCATCATGATGAGCGAGAATTTCTGCGAAGAGACACACGGCGAAGCAACGTTAACGTCGTTCGGACAGCGAGCGATCGCAAGCGACGCGTGCGGGGGCGTGATGCCTGTACGAACATCTGCAAACACTGCAAATTCTGACAAGGATGAAGCCCGCTGGAAAGTGTAGGCACCCACCTTGAGCAGTTCGCTGGCATTTGCTATCTCCGTCTGGATGAATGTTGACTTTTGCGATATTTCGTGGTATTTGTTAATAACTTCTTCCTTAGTGTAACCTTGGCTGTACAAATGCAAAAATGCACAAATAAAGGAAAAACTACTAGTTGTAAGTAATTTAGATATAGATGCATGCAGCTTGTACAATTTACAGTTCGAATTAAGGCTACTGTTACTGCACAACCTTCCATGTCGAGATGAGAGGAGATCATAAATCCGTTAAACACATCATGTCACCTACACGTGTGCTAGATGCCACACAACCAATACTCACGTCGTCTCCTTCTCCTTCAACCGTTTCTCACACTGTGTGATGTCACTGTCGATGGTTCTAGGGGATCGCCTTGTGTTCACCCTCTCACAGATTTGTGTCGCTTTACCGATGTACTCCTAAAAAGAAAACAACAAAGGGTTACAATAATATACAACAACAATAGACGTTTACAAAACAAGCTTGCGAGTGAAATGCCTAAAAGCATGTGTACCAAATATACCTGCAATGTATAATCAAGTCTGGCCCATTACATTTGCTATATTAGGTGAATCCAAACCAGAATTTCATCTAGAATGTATGAATAAACTACTACAGTTCAGTACAACCATATAGGCCATTAAGTTATGAATATGCACATCACATACGACATACACAATTTCTATCGGCTAATTAAATCTACACTAAATCTTTGTAATTACTTACAGATAAATTATGCACATCGTCGTTGTCGAGCTTTTAACTAATAGACGAGATTTTATCTGATAAGGAAACCTTTTGAAATAACGGCAAACTACAAACAGGAATCAGCTACACACATAATTGAATTAACTTTGATACATCTGCAATATGCTTGATTCCTAATTATTATACTTAGCAGAATCATCCAAAACCAGGTACCTCAACTTTTGTCTTCTGCTGTTTCAACTGTTTTGTGATCGTCTGTATAACAGCAAGGTGTTCCTGTAGCTGTTTGTTATAATGCTTCTGATGTTCTCTAAGCAGCGCTATCTGTTGTTCCGTCTCAGCTAGATCACTTTTCTGTGGAATCACCTTTTCCTTGATCTCTTCCAGCTGCTTAGTAAGTGCATTGTACCTGCCATAACACATGTGCAATCCTAAAATTACAAGAATTCAGTTGTATCTGCTACTCCAAATCTTTATCCACAACTCCTGCTATGATAGCAATGGTACGAACTATGCATCCTACACCACCCAATGTTTTTTCATAGAAGTGCACATTCATTAGCATGCTAGGTATGCATCAACGACACGAGCAGAAATATACCTATAGCAGTAACACTATTAAACAATCGTTAATCCTACCAGACGCACGTCGGTGACGTTAGTAACAACCACCGCATTGTGACATACCTGTTCAGTGCTTCTGTCTGTGTGGACTTGCTACCATTTAGAAGTGCGGTCACCTCCTGTTCAGTCTGCTGCAGTCTATCGTGCTGCGCGTCGCAGTTAAGGAGCTCCTCCTCTAGCGTGGCGATGTCGATCGGATCCACCTCCTCGACGTTTGCGAACTCAGCGATCTCGTAGCGCTTCTTACGCACCGCCTCCTGAATCCGCATGATGTGCGTGTCCGTCTTGTTCTTCTGCTGCAAGTTCTCCCTGCAGGTGGCGTCGGCGGTGCGGCTCTCACACTGCAGCTGGCGCAACTGAACGTTGAGATTCGTCGACTTTTCCTTCAGGGCGTTGATGTCCTCTTCGATGTTTTTCTTCAGAAACTTGGCTTGTGCGTAGCTCGGGCAGGAGTAGTAGCGAAAGGTCTTGCCGCCGAGGACCTGAGTGCAGAGAAACCAGCTCCGTGAATGAGGCGACTGTTATTTCAACTGGAATTATGCTCTCACCTATCAAACACACACAGGCATGCACGTACAGACATACGTGCTAGAAAATGCGCAAGGACCCCATTATAACATGGCATTATCCGATTTAAGTACAAAAATCGAGCAATAAGAGGGAACGACAACAAAGAACAGTGCACACAGACCTGGTCACCGCTAAGCGTGAAGGCCTCGTGACAGTTGGCCGGCAGCGAGTACTGCATGACACGTCGTGCCTCCGTGTTGTCCTTGATCAGGACAACCGACTCGACGCCGCGCAAGTCGATGAGGAAGTTTGTGACGATGGGGTCGCGGGTCGTGAGCGTGTGAAGTACCGTCGCGTACGCACGCGTCTTCGCCTCAAACGCCGACACGTCGTACACGCGCTCCTTGAAGCGACTGATGAGCATCTGCGGCTTCTTGTTGTTGCGCGGAAGCACCGACACCATGATGCGCTCCAGCACTCCAGCATCGTGGTGGTCATTCACGCACCACGCAAACATGAGGCCGCCCAGACACTGCTCAACTGCTAGGGCCCATCGCTGGTCTGTCAGCTCCATATATGCACCTACAAACAGCAGAAAGTGCTTTTACTGAAGAGGTTACGGTGGCTCCATAAAAATGAATCCAATAAGAAATCGATGTGACAGCTAAGGGTTACTTATAGTTAAACTCGCTAGACCCATGATGCCCTGTGTTAGTGTTCTCCTTGCTTATTATGACCAAATGTCCTCAAACGACATTCCTAAACAAGTAAATCTTAGAAGCTAGAATAGAAATAAGAGAAACTCATATTCTGATTGTTGGCAAAAAATACTCTAAATGACTATTTCTTGCCAACAATCAGAATATGAGTTTCTCTTATTTCTATTCTAGCTTCTAAGATTTACTTGTTTAGGAATGTCGTTTCACAGCTTGGTTCATGGTGCAGCATATAGCCAATAAAAGCTAAATACAACGCACCTATTGGTCCTCGGGGCTTCTGGTGGAACTTTCCCTGCTTGTGTGCATTTTCAACCTCTCGTATCAGTTGTGGCACCCACTGCCCATAGATGCGGAATCGATCAGTCTTGCTCTCCTCCAAGTCTCGCAAGTCTCTTTTCGTGCGATCCACCAGTTCCCTAAGACCCTGTTCTTCACGCCTAAAAATGCGGGGCACTCACAGTGATAATGTAGCTATTGCAACAGATATTGAATGCTGGATAGAGATATGTAGTGTATTTTCTATAAAAAAAAAATTGGTTTTCATAATCAATCAACTTGTACTTCAATACTTTATGTAATATTTAAAACGAATCTCATGCCTCATCCTCAGCTGGTCTTCCTTTGCCTTGTTCACTGCCCCCTGGAACTGGTCAAGATCATGCTTTTTGGTGTTCATCTGAGCAGAAAGTGCCTTCAGTTCCTCCTCGAGTTGTGCAATCTTCTGCTCCCGTTCTCTCCTTTCTGCATCTCTATTTTCTTGCACACTGAATATAGAGAACAACAAAACTAAGGTCACCCACAGTGTGCACGCACCTTACAAAACAGGCAGTCACGTGTAACACAAAATAACACGCATAACAGAACTGCAATGATAAATCATTGTATGGATAATTTAAACGAGCATACTTATTAGGGCACGAAATTAGCACCGGCCCACCGGCATATGCCGGCAAATTATTTGGAAGGCCGGTAACATTGGCAAAACACCGGCCCTCCGAGCCGGTGGTGTCAGCCGTGTTAGTGAGTACCTACATTTTTATTTATAGCCTACATTATTTATAGCAAATAGCCTACATTACTGTTTTACCTGAAGGATATCACGCAATGAATAACTTATCTACATTTTACAAATTTGAAATCAAGAATGCAAGCGTGAAACATGCCATTGATTTTACAAACAAATTTGTGAGGGCTGGTAAATTATGGTGAGGGCTGGTAAAAATTACTGTTACCAGCCCTCTGATCGGTGCAAAAAAATCTGAATTTCGTGCCCTGCTTATACATTAACACATTACATGCATTGTAAACATACATTAATCATATTACATATATATAATGTCGTTGGATTTACTGATAAAAAACAACAGTGATTGAACACCTATAGCAAGTAATTGCTTACTTGGTTTTTAACTCTTCTATTCGTGTTGATATCTCCTGGCGATCATTCTTTAGTTGCCTCAGCTGTCGTTCAATCTCCTTTATTTTCATCTGTAGAGAGAAACCAGTAAAAAAGGCGTTATTGTTTTATTACACAGCCCCAACTTTGAACCTTACAATGTTAAAATGCTGTTTTGAATTAAAATTCATTTCACGAAATCCTCAGTAAGTTAAGAAGCAATGGATCGGTGTCCACAAACATTTGGTGACCATACCTGGTGTGTGCGTATATCTTTTTTGGCTACGTCAAGGTGATCTTTTGCTGTACGGATATCAGGATCCATTCCCCTCGCCTGGTCACTAATCTGTTTTAACTCATCCCTCAACTCTTGTATGCGCAACTGTTCCTTCTGAATTTTTGCCTTAGGAACAGATAAGAATATTAATCAGCAAAAAATTTCCACGGCAACAAGATATACTGAAATCTAATCCAGCCAAATTTTGATTTCTGTGGCAGTAATCGTACTATACTTACACTACTTAGTATACTTACACTATTTACTATACTTACACTACTTACTATACTTACACTACTTACTATACTTACACTACGTACTATACTTACACTACTTACACTACTTACTATACTTACACTACTTACTATACTTACAATGGTTTCTTCCACCTTTCCTGTGAACTTTACTGTCCTTCCATCTTCCGTTTCTAGACCTTTTTGCAATGGATTAACTTCCTATGACAAAAAATATCAGCATTACGAAAAGAAGCTTGTTTGTATTAAGTGCTCACATAAATAATTATCCCCATACACAGTACAAACGAAGGAGAATACTCATATATTGAGCACAGGCATGAAAACTGCATTTAAATATTGACTCTATATGAATTATCTGGCTTAGATACTTACAATTTTTTTTAATCATATTATAGGAGCAACTAAGATTACGTGTAACAGACAATAATAAGAACCATTCACAAATGAGCTGGTAACTGATATGAAACCACTCTCTATTACTAACTTGTCCAAATTTGAATGTAGTTTCTAGAGTTTGGTTTCCCACGTTTCCAAATTAGCCTTGGTCATATACGTCATAAAACCACATGCAACTGTTAGGCAAGCAGGCTCTATGTTCTATCACTTGTTAGCTGCACGTTGTACGAGCTGTTATGTTTTGATAACTGCTCTACCCCAACTGGCAGTAAAAATCATTCTCGTTGTAAACTACTATTTTGAGCATTTTAAATTTAAATATAAAATTAAAATATTGGACTCAGGCCACCCTTAAAAAATTATATGTTTGCTGTCCTCCCACCGACCCACGAAAATAGCCGCGACCCAAAATTTTTTTTTTACATTTTGGGTTCCATATTTTTTGATGGATGGCCTCAATTATGCATTATCTGCTTTTCTAACAAGACATAACAGTAAGACGTTCAATCAGTAATATAGGCCCGCACACGACCTCACCTGCTCAACCTCAGCAACCTGCGCCCATGCACTCTCATTCTTCAGCTTCTCGATTTTTTCACGTAGATTATCCAGAGACTTCACAGCTCTGAATCGCCTATCCCACTCAGCCACCTCCTTCTCCATCTTTGCCATTGTCTGATGAACGGGAGAAAACATGACAGTGCTACCTACGCCATGTATGATTTTCAATACACGTTGATAATCACAATTTGACTCACCTAAACGACGGACCTCGTGTGAACAACATTGTGTAACTGTGCTCTAGCAGTGTTCACAACTGAAATAATATCAGGAGTAGATAATAGGGAGGAGTGTGACATCAATAAACAAGGGAAATTCGTCCTTTACTAGCCTTATAATACCTACAATTTACTACCATATAGTAAATGAATTTTATACCGTCTGAATTATAGGCGCCCAATGGCGTTGGATTGATGGCCAGAAAATGGAGAATCGTGTCGTACGTTTTAGGCTGTATCTCCGGATTGCGGGTGTCTACGAGGAAACGATTTCGCACGATGATTGGCGAATGTACTGTGTCCGATTTGAGCTCAAGTTGGATGAGTTACGTGTAGTAAATCGTAGGTATTACAGGCTTTCAGATTTGAAAAGTACAGGAGGACTACTAATGACTCCCCTAGGACACCATAGGGGGACTTTTCACGCTCCATAATCACACCCTTAAGAGACATGATGAAGAGCTCCACTAAAAAATCACACCCTTAAGAGGCATGATGGAGAGCTCCACTAAAAATCACACCTTTAAAAGGGATGATGGAGAGCTCCTTGAGGGCTCTCCATCATGCCTCTTGGGGTGTGATGATGGAATCATGACCAATCCTCAGTCTAGAGTGAAATCCAAAACGAAAATTGGGATGTCATGTCAATCTACTGATTATCATTCATCTTCACCTTCATTCATTCAATGGCTTCGTCAGGATTACATTCTTTTCATCCAACACTAGCACACAGATTAATAAAAGAGTTGATCGGATGTAAAAATAAACTTGTTTTATTTATTCTGATTTCCATCCTTAGAGATTCTAATCCATGTACCTGCATATTTCAGCACAAAATATCATCACAATCCATCAACAAACTAGCCAAATTACTCGTACGTAGTAGCCACGTATGTAGCCCCTCCAGCCCTACGACTGTTTCACGTCGGCAGAAAACCACTTCTCGCCACGTATAGTAGAAAACGAGCAGGTAACTTGTGGCTACCGTATAGGTACCTGTATTTGGATGCTGTTGTTTAGTTGTATTTATATATATATATATATAAACCAGAGGGTAGTAACCAGACCTGTACCTCTGCCATACGTTCAGTCACTTAAACACCACAAATTGTTGTGTGTTGCTAACCTTTTTGTACCCCCCTACATTGAGAACCCTATGGAGCGCTATTTCACCATAATATACATACTTTTGGTGCGCGATTTCAACCACTTTTATGAGGCGCGATGATGCGCGCACCATGGCACAATTTCGGGTGCGCGGTGGAGCGCGAGCGCGATCGCGCCCATTAAAAATGAAAGCCTGGTATTATAAGGCTAGTAAATGACGAATTTCCCTTGTTTATTGATGTCAGACTCCTCCCTATTATCTACTCCTGATAATATGCTACACTACAAGCAGTGTAATATAATGTAACCAACCAAAACGTGCAATTTCTACAATCAAACACAACAATCGCACCGTTGATACATCAATCGAGAATAGCGATAGCACGATAGCAAATATACCTCTCGTTTCGTTGCCAGCAAACCAGTCGCCTCTCTGCATCGTTCGTCTGCCTCGTTATATGCACGCTTCATCTGCTCCAGCTGCGTGGCTTTCAGAAAGAATTTGTACTTATCGGAGGCATTCTTAGAGTTGAGAAAGTTGCGGCTCGTCTCCTGGTTGAGAACGCTGATCGGATTGTCCACCTGAATGTTGAACTGCTCCATGAGGTGAGTCAACTCATCTCGCTTTGTACTTATCAGGTCGCCTGGCCGCCCGCGAAACCAACACGAGTTATAAACAACCAAAGTTATAACTTTGCACAAAATCATTAGGACCAATTACAGCCAACCACATATATCCTGTATTTATTTATAACGTTCAATTTATGTACGGTAACCCTTTTTCAATTCTTCCAATTTCCCCCAATTTCTTCTGACCTGTACGAATAACACAAGTGTAACCACAAGGGAGAAAATATGAATCACTAGCAATATCAGTACATTACAAAGAATTGATCCTTCAGAGTTATTGTCTAGTCACTCTTAACAAACCTGCAGCAGATGCGATATTTCTTACCTGACTTTCCTCTTAGTTTATATGAGCTGCTACCATCTTGAGTCAGTCTTCGTTCCACAGTGACCGAGTCACCATATAGGTTTGGTTTGAATGCATCGGGTCCTTTGTTACTGAGTTTAACCGTCACCTCCCCATACCTATTTCAAACGCAAGGTATAATAATTTGTATGTACACCTATATGTAAGTATATCTGTATGCATAAGAAATATAAATATACCTGTCAAATGTTAATATATAGGCTATAAAACAAAACTAGTTGGCTATAGATTTCTTCAGTGAATGACTAATAAGTGTTTAAATGCTAGCATCTTTCAATGGGGCAATAATTATATGGGTTTATCTTAACTTTATAATTAGAGGTAGAAATGGGGCAAGTAGTACCATGTAGAAATTGCAGTGAGGATAGTTTTTAGATATAGTTAAATACATGTATACAAATCTGGTTAACAAGCAACACAAGAAAGGACTGATTCTAGAAGAAGAAGGTATCCTCCAGAAACATGGTGGATCGAAAACACAATATATTTGTACTTCCAATAAATACCCTTTTCCAGTTTTGATAAAACTTTTAACAGATGTTCCTCGATTTGTTACGTTTGCCTTTCCTCCTAGTCCGATAACAACAGCAGTTAGGACCGCACTCTTTCCACCTGCAATAACAAAATGAGCGAGATGAATATAATCAGATAACTACTACAGCGTGAATGTAAGCCAGCTGGTGATATACCTTTACATATCTACTAGAGACCACAGACATAAGTGACCTATATTTTATGAAACTGAAATCGTCTCTTAGGGACAATTGTATGAAATTGGCTCCAATTGATATAAAAGACATAGTTTTGTTTAAATGCTCGACAGTAAAACGACGCATGACTTACTTCCATTACGGCCTATGACAAAGTTCACATTTGGGCCAAAGTTGAAACTTAGGTCGTTGTGGCACATAAAATTTTTCAGTGACACTCCCTCGATTATGCCAGATTCAGCAGTTTTCTGAAACATTTCATGTAAATAAACATTCGCATTATATAAGTTAATATCAACACAAAATTTCAAACTCTAACACAATCTAATTTTTTTCACAGGACTACAAATCACAACTTTCTGTGTCACAGTCAATTATAATAAACTCTGTTATGAACTCTTCTTAATTGAACAGGTTTTTGACATTTTCTCAAATGTAGGTAGCTGTATATCCATCTACCTGTGTCTATATATCTAGTCAGATATGGTATAGACAAGCATGCATATTAATTACTATAAAGACAATACTTGTTTAATATTTCATTATGAATTGTCTGCCCAGGTGTTTATCTAAAAATCGCTTATACAGGAGCAGTTACATGCTGGTGAATGTTTGCTGGAAGCATGAGCATTCCAGATTTTCTTTCACCAAATTTATGGAGCACACCACTTGTATCAGTGGCAATAACAAACTCACCGTTGTAACCAAGGTAAAACCTGGACGTCTATCCGACTGATCATGTTCATTATCAGGATCAGGACGACAAGACTGCTTGGGAGCTGGGTGCTCAGTGACGGAATTAGCCTTCCTCTTTGGCATTGTCAAGCCAACCTCAGAATAGGCCGTATATTAATATGACAGGCCTTCAACCTAGGTTAAACAAAAACATTTTTTTTATTATTGTTGTTGTTGGTATTATTCATATAAAACAAGTGCCGCTGAGCGACAGCGCTCATCTAACGTCTACTGCGGTGACTCTGTGGTGGAGTGGTGGGATTCTAGTAAACCCTGTTAGTCCCAAATGTGTTCACATACGCGCCGAAACAGTGGAAGGCACAGGGATAGTATCAGGAACCTTCTCAAAGGAATGTTCGTTGGTATCGTTATGAAAGTTGCCACGAGATGGCGCGTACGTTTAAGTGTCTCAAGATTAAAGATGGAAACTCCCATTGTACGTAGTAGCAGCAACTATTTGCAAGACAGAATAGGTAAGCACTCATCCATTTACCTACGCAAGCCTACAGGCTGAAATAGAGAGCTGCCACCTGTAACTAATTAACGCAGGCACTACACAGTACTATCACCGCCACATGTACTAGGCAGTGGCCACTGCGGCAGTGGCATAAGTTACAATATGTAACACCACTGACAGTACAGAATGCCATAAAATATATCGACTTTAAGCGAGCATATAACCTTCTTCAAGCCAAATTAGCTTCTTGAAATTTTATGTGACATGTAGCCTACAACATCCAGGCATGATAGAATTCTACTAGCAAAGCACGGCAGTTCAAATTCTTTCTAACACTAACAGACAGTAAACAAATCCATGTTTGAAGCCCCTCCCTCTTTGAGGGTCAAAAGAGTTATCGGACCACTTACTCTTCCGCATCAGTCACAGAAAGTACATACTCATGCGTCCTTTCATAAAGCCATAAAAATTAGGTCAGCAGCTTGAAACAAAAAATTTTTCAATCGCCATCGGTCCAGACCCATGTCCTCAGAAAATGGTCTAAATCTGCCCTGTGCCTCATTGTACCTTGACACTGTACCTTCCAATTTTGGCACGTGAGCTTTTCCTACCAGATGCCTAATATACACCCCGACTATCGCACGAGCCTAATAGTCCGAGCCATTAGATTGCTGCCGCAATTCGCATTTCCTCCCTATAACCTTAAGTTAAGGAGTGAATGTTCCACTTCTCTACACCTCTGCACATTGACCTTTGACACCCACTTTGACATCCCAAACTCGTTCGGATTACCCCCCACGTACTCGAATATCATGACCGTACGTCGAGCGTTATGATTTGTGCTCAAACTGTTAGACGGACTAAACGCCGCACAGGACGGACGCATCATGCGATCTACAAGCTGCATCTGACTATTCAGATTGAGCGAAAAATCTCGTAACTCCGCCGTGAGTAGCGCTCCCTGGCAGGTATGCTAAACCAGGGTAATTGCCTTTTTAATTTAAAAATCCCTTTACTGGCTATTAATTAGTTTGGCCTAATGGAACATATTCGTAATACGGCGACGCCCTGCATGTGAAAATATACATGATCCAATTGGACAGGGCTCGGTGCAGCTGAGCTTAGAACCAGGGAGGCCTTGAACCAAGATGCAATTCACAACATTACAAATTTATGTAATAAACGTGCAGTGTGCTCGGTTATACCCAAAACCACAGATTATTTTTGCAAATTACTTATTATAAAAGAAGCAAGGGTGTTAGTAGCGGCAAATCCGAAGAAAGTTACAATTTCATGACTGACAGACACCCCATTAGTTGCCATGCCTCAGCACAACTACAAGGACACTAGAGAGGCAACTGCGGTGTTGTAGTCCGAGTCGAACACCCCAGTTCGAGTCCGAGTCCGCACCCCCCCCACCCCCGCCCCCTGAGTCCCGAGTACCCGAGTCCGAATCCGAGTCCCGAGTCCGTGCCACCCGAGCCGAGTGCCACACAACCAGAGCTACGAGCCAGTTAGATTTTTTTTAAAAGGCGAAAAAATCGGAAAAAGGGAAAAAGTCGGGGAAAAAAGCGGAAAAGGAAAAATCAGGGAAAAAGGGAAAATCGTAACAAAAGAGAAAAAGGCGAAAAATCGCCAACAGTGCATCGTAGACATTCAAAAGTGTATAGTCAGCCCGAAAACACATAAGACCACAAGTCATACGAAACGTGTCAAAGTAACAGATCCATTGTGTTTACGAAAATGACACGCGCTGTTGAACCAAATGAAAGAGCCTAGTGCTTCGAATGCCGTAGAAAAGCGCAAAGAGGACAAAGTGCTGCAGACTTCATTAAACCAAAAAAGGACAGAATCTAATCGACGCGCATGAAAACTTACAAGATTAGGCCATGTTATCTAGAAAACCTAGAAGTTTTAGTTTTAAAATTATTGGTAAAACTGCGTGCTTACAATAGCTACATGTTTGTACTATGTATGTAGTGGCGCTCGACTCCGAGGCGGTCATCGCACTCCCGAGCCAAGGGACCGAGACCGAACCAGGAAAACGCGTCTCAGACCTACAACACTGGCCAAACTGACTCACTCCATATAGAAGAAAGTGCGCCGTAATAGAACTGCGCGTCATCAGCAAAGAGGCGAATAGGATAGAGGAAGTCAGTTTGGCAACAAATCATTTTGAAAGAATAAACAACAATGATCAATGACTAAGCACACACCGCATAGTTGGTATGACCAATGTGGACAGGCAAGCACTGCTATCCTGATCCTTGATCGAAAGCTTCTTAGAGCTGTATGCCCTCTTGTTAGTAGCTACTTGTATTGCTAAGTCTCATAGTAATGGCCACATGTATTTACAAGTGCCGATGCATAGCGACGCGCTACATCTAACGTCTATCTGCATGACTCTGTGGTGGAGTGGTGGGATTCTTAGTAAACCCTGTTAGTCCCAAATTGGTTCCACAAACACCGCACGAAACAGTGGAACTGCACAGCGATGCTAATCAGGAAACCTTCTCAAAAAGAATGTTCGTTTGGCATCGTTAGAAAGTTGCCACGAGATGGATGCGTACGTTTAAGTTCTCAGATTAAAGATGGAAAGCCCGCATCATCATTGTAGTAGCAAACAACATCTGCCAAGACAGAATAGGTAAGCACTCATCCCATTTACCTGACGCCAAAGCCATACAGGCCTGCGCAATTACTAGAGAGCTGCCACCTGCCCCAACCAATAGGCAAAAACTCCACAGTACCCACAACACATGCACTGGCAGTGGCATACGCTTACATGCTAACATAGATGACACTAGACAAGAATGCATATAATTGATACGATTTAAGGAGGGCATAAACCTTCTTTAAACAAAATTAGGCTTTGGAAATTCACTGTGACATGTAGCCTCATACATCCAGCACGTAAAATACGATTCTGACTAGCAAACCGGCAGTCAGAATTCTTTCGTAACAGACCAGTCAACAAATCCATGTTAACCCTACCTCGTTGAGGCGTCAAAAGGTTATCAGATCACTGTATACTCTTCGTCACGTTCAGTGGAGAAGCAGATTTCATGCCTTTCAATAAAGCCATAAAAAATGATAGGTCACCGCTGAAAACAAAAAAGTTTTCAATCGCTCGGTCAGACTCAGTCCTTCAGAAAATGGCTAAAGCTGCCCTCTGTGCTCCTATATGACCTTTGACCTGTGACCAAGGCCTCAATTTCGGCAGCAGTGATGGCTTTTCCTACCAATGATGCTATATCACCGACTATCACGAGCGCAGCGTCGAGCGTCGTTTAGATTTGTGCCGCAATTCTGTCATTGTCCTCCCTATACCTTAAGTAAAGGATGAATGTTCCCCTTCTTTTACACCTCTTGACCTTTGACTGCTTGACCCCCAGCTTCGACATCCCAACATCGTTTTACGGATCCCCCCAACGAACCCAAATTCGTGACCGGACGTCGAGCGCTCGTTAAGATTTGTGCCCACTGGTGACGGACGGACCGGACGACGCGGACGACGCGGACGATCAAGCGATCTACAAGCTGCATCTGACCTATGTCAGATGACTAAAACCGGTAAAAACTGTAGGATGGCGCTGGCCGTTAAATGGTGTGGACGGCCGAGTAACGAACTCAGCCAGAGCCTATGCTCCTAATGCTATTATCACAAACAATTTCTGAATCTATCCGTCATAAAGTAAGAAATCAGTTTAACTTAGGTAGTAAATAAGTAATATGCCAACCGTAAGTGACTAAAGTTTGAAATTAAGCGAGAGATCCGTGCAGAGAACCCCTTAATCATTCCTTGCCAAGATAATTGAAATCAACAGTTCTGCGAACAAATCTACCGCCTCGACGCTACGGTACGATATCGAGGACGTGGGGGGTAACCGAAAACGAGGGGGTTTGGATGTCAAAGCTGGGGCGTCAAAGGTCAAATAGTCAAGCAGAGTGTAAAAAGAGGGGAAATTCACTTCCTTAACATTAAGGTATAGGGAGGAAATGCCAGAATTGCGGCACAAATCTTAATATGGTCTCGACCTAGCCTGCGGAAATAGGTCGGTGTATATAAGCCATCATGGTAGGAAAAGCCATCACAGTGCCAAAATTGGAGTCAGCAAGGTCAAAAGTCAATGAGCATCAGGGCAGATTTTAGACATTTCTGAGGCATGGTCTGACGGAAGCGATTTGAAAACTATTTTGTTTCAGCTGTGAAAACTAGCATTTATGGCTTTAGTTGAAAGACCATGAGAGTTACTTTCTGGGCTACATGTCGAAAGAGTAAGTGTACCGATAAACCTATGTGACCCTCAAAGGAGGGTTAAACTGGATTGTGTGACCTGTCTGTAGAAGAGATTTGACTAGCCGGTTTGGCACAGTAAGAATTTAATTTACATGCTGATGTATGAGGCTACAATGCACAGGCAAAATCAAAAAGCTAAAGTTGGTTGAAGAAGTGTTATATGGCCTCGCTTAAACTCTATAAATTTCTATCGGCATTCTGTACTGTCAGTGTGTTACATATGTAACTTATGCCACTGCAGTGGGCCACTACCAGTACATGTGGCGGTGATAGTACTGTGTAGTGCCTGCGTTAATTAGTTACAGGTGGCAGCTCTCTATTTCAGCCTGTAGGCTTGCGTAGGTAAATGGATGAGTGCTTATACCTATTCTGTCTTGCAAATAGTTGCTGCTACTACGTACAATGGGAGTTTCCATCTTTAATCTTGAGACACTTAAACGTACGCGCCATCTCGTGGCAACTTTCATAACGATACCAACGAACATTCCTTCGAGAAGGTTCGATCCTGATACCATCCCTGTGCCTTACACTGTTTCGGCGCGTATGTGAACACATTTGGGACTAACAGGGTTTACTAGAATCCCACCACTCCACCACAAAGTCACCGCAGTAGACGTTAGATGAGCGCTGTCGCTCCGCGGCACTTGTTATATGAGGTATGTTTAGGCTTAGGAGTTAGGATTAGGGTACACTTCTGTAGTACAAGTCTGGTACACTTTGTGTATACATATATATGTACCTCGGGTACATATACTATTACTAATACTATATTAGTAATAGTACTATAGTAGTTATACTACCTGATAGTGATACGACAACGAGTGAACGACCCCTTTACTTTTAGGCTCAGCGATACTAGCAGCAAAACAGGATAACTTCGCAGTTGAGGGCTTAATATATTCCTGCTGTGAATCACCACATGCTAAAACATATAAAAGATAATTGCAGTAACGTAACGGTACATCAGTTCTTTGCCTGACAGAACAAAAATCGTGACCGTGATTGTTTACGCGCGATTTTAAGCGCGTAAAAAGAAACAGTTCGAACCTTGGACGATTTCGCCGCAACTTTGCGGTAGTTGGTGTTGCCAGAGCCACGCAGCGGTCAATTTTGTACAATATGATTCGCGCGCAAAACTGTGTGATGACAACATAGATGGATGACAACAATGTCAACATAGAAATAATATAGATAACTTATATATATTATTATTATTATTTCTATCTTATTATCTATATTATATTGTTATCTATATTATTTCTATGGATGACAATGACGTTTTGCACATAAATTAGTAATATGCGCTTTATAATTTATTATCAATATCATTTCACTCGTTTATATTTATAACGTCGTCGATTGCCATCATTTTCACGTTGGTATATGCATCGTATATGTTTCTGCTCTTGTTTTCTTTAAGTAATGGGACCACTGATCTCTATTATACTAACGTTAGTATAATAGAGATCAGTGAATGGGACAGAAAGCCCGTCTATCAATTTTGGACGGTTAAACAAAACGATCACTGGATGGCGTTACCGTCATTTCTACTAGACTGGTACTCGCTCCCACCTCGATTACTCGATGAACCCCCTAAGCCGAGAGGTGGGACCTGGTACCAGTCCACATTTCTACTCGGTGTTCTAGATTTTCTCACTACGTGGCAGCACTAACCTTGTTTCTTCTGCTCGAGTAGAAATTAGAATCACTGGCAGCTGGCTGTTCCAACAAATCAGTAAAAATAAAAATAATGTATAATAAATCTTATTGCACCACTACTCATAGCTCTCCTATCTGCGGTAAACAACTCATTACTGCAAAAAAAGCCTAACGTCGGCGTGAATGCCGACTCTCTGCACTAAGCTGCGTACTTACCATACAATGATACATAATCCCCATGAACTATTCCCCATACCACATGAACTACTGACAAGAGGTGCAGACAAAAGCAGAAATGAAAAACTCAATTGAAAGGAGAGTAAACTGGTTGTTAAATGTTAGTGCCATAAGCAGCAAAGTAGACCAAGGTCATGTAAGAGTCTTAATATCGGCAAATATTTTAATAAACATTTATTAACATTTTCCAGATACATAGCTAACAACGCCCAAAACTCAACAGGGGATGAATAGATCCCTAAAAACAACATTGCGAATCAACAAGGCATACTGTGGCAAAGCACACTACAAGTAATGACGACTTGACAGCTTGTCTGCACATACATTTTACTATATAATACAGCCAGTTATATACAGAAAGGAGTCGCCGGTTTTGCCTAGCACACGGATGCACAGTAATTTCTGAACAGCATTTTACAGCAACACTACTGTAACCTGAAAATCATAATCAGGTCCAGTCTATATATACATAGTGTAAGGCCAAGAGAGATCAGTGGTGAAACGATATGGTTATATAATATCATGTAGACAACTCGTTTTTGTAGCAAGCACCAATTTCCTCTTTTCCATCACCCACCTGGGCTACACCATCGAGTCAAAGACAGTATGCACCATGTGACAGCACAACTCTTAGTTCGAATACTCACCAATTGACTAGATTTATAACTGCATAACGAGCAAAACTGGATAATACGTGAAATGATCTTGATGATTGTCATATTTAGTGGTAACAAATACTGCTGTCACACATGCAAGGATACATTTGCATGCTGGAATACAACAGTAGAGATTGTAAACTTGAATGAATAACGCAACTAAAGCAATTACATCGTGTCATTTTTAATGAAATAATACACCTTTATATTCATACTGAATCTGTAATCTTTTGGAACAGTGGTTACATTTACAGTTACAGTTACATTAAGTTAAGTTGTTACTTACATTTACAGCAACCAGATGCTCAGTTTCCCAAGAACTATTATCAAACAGCCTTGCCTGTTAATCAAGATGCATTTCCTATAATAACGACTGACAGTGACAATCAACCACTGATGCAGTTTCCTACCAACACTGGACAATTCTCCGTCTTTACAACCGTGCCATCACTTACATACCAAATGAGTACTTCACTTCACAAAATATCCATTGAGTGGAGAGAGTGACTTTAACCAGAACTATTTATTAGGTAATGCTATTAGGTCAAGTTGTAATAAGGGATAAATAATGCAAAGGATGGACAGCTGTTACAGTGCAAGGGAGGCTGTAGGAAGATGCTTGCCTCCTCAACCCTGCTGGACTTTTTCACACACAGCATCGGTAAACTTCGAGCAGGTGGCTTTTCCACCAAGGTCAGCTGTCCTTGTCTGAAAGGTCCAGCAGTAATAAAATGCAATTAAATGTGCATACGTAACTGTAAACAAAGTTAAAAGTGTAGCAACTTCATTTGATAATGACAAACTATCGATTAACTAAAATGTTCACGAAAAAATGTGAGTCACATGCAAAATATTAAAATCTCTATATATGCAGTACATCAACCCACACTTCCAGAATGCCACAATGAAAGAGGGAGAAGGGAATAAGGTATACAAACCGACCACCGTGACTGCTATGAACCATTTATACCTCGGTGGCTTTGATAGCTTCGAAGGCCGCTGCCTCAATCCTATTGCCGTATTCAGTTAGGTCCATGTGTTTCAGCATCATGCAGGCACTAAGAAGAAGAGCAGTGGGGTTGGCCTTGTCCTGGCCTGCGATGTCAGGAGCTGTGCCATGCACCTACAAACACAACACATGCCATTAGATCATCAATACTCCTCACGTCCAGCCAGCCTGTCCTGGAGTAAAGCGTACAAATCAGACCACTCCATAATGATGCCTGCTGGTCTATGAATTTACAATTATTTGCTTAGCATAGGGTTAGCATTGGAATCAGGACCATGTTTACATAACAATAACCCAAAATTTGAGTGTTATAAACACAAACTTGACCAGGACTGCAGAGGGTGCAATGTGCCAATTGTCCTAAGCCACCATACTCGAGAATGGAATAAAAATGCTATTTGATTTACTACTACGAAAGAATGCACATCTCTCCCATATATATATATATATAATATATGCATGGTTATCAGTTCTTAGTACATTTCACCTATTCTGACAGCATGCAAATGCAGTCAACAATATGACAGTTCGCTAGCATAAAGAATACGTTTGTAATAGTGAACAAAGTTTCTATTGCTTTTTTTTGCATCTCTAACATACTTACAGATTCAAATATTGCTGCACCAGCTGCTCCAATGTTACCACTTGGTGTCACTCCTAAACCCCCTATCAAGCCAGCACAGAGGTCACTGAAATTTACAGAAAATGATGCATTTATATTTAGAACTCAAACGCACTGAAGTTTCTCACAAACACATACTCATCACATTAAACTATATTGCAGAAATCCTAATCGTCTAAACACATAATATGTGGGAGAGAGATAAAAATAGAGTACAGATAGAGAGGAAGAGAGAGAGAGAGAGAGAGAGAGAGAGAGGAGAGAGAGAGAGAGAGAGAGAGAGCAGAGAAAGAAGAGAGGAGAGAGCGAGAGAAGAGAGAGAGGGAGAGATAGAGGAAAGTGAGGGGAGAGGCGAGGAGAAGACAGAGAAGGGGGGAGGGAGGAGCGGGGAGAGAAAGATAGAGCCGAGAGAGCGACGAGCGAGAGAGCGAGTGAAGAGAGATGAGCGTGAGCGAAGAGACAGAGAGAGCAAGCGAGAGACAGAGAGAGCGAGCGCAGAGCGAAGAGAGAGAGAGCGAGCGAGAGAGGTAGAGAGAGCAGGAGAGGGATGAGAGAGGTGACTTGCCGAACACAAACGAACGAGCAATTTGGTGGAGGGGGGGGGAGAGAGAGGTCTGCTACACAGGCTGTATCACTCCCACCTCGTGCATTTTACCTGAGAATGTCTCCGTACAGATTCGGCATGACAAGAACATCAAATTGTGTGGGATCCTGTACCATCTATGAACAAGAGAAGAATATATTATCACTAAACTATTGTAAAACATTCAAGATCATATTTTTGCACTGTAATGTAATTGCACACAAGATCTCGCCACAATGACTGACGACTGTACTCACATGGAGGCAAACGGTGTCGAGATACATCTCATTAAACTTGATGCTGGGATACTTCTCTGCTGCCTCGCGGCAGCAGCGTAAGAACAGCCCATCAGACATCCTCCTGTGTAACCGAGAAACTTGATTTACCAACTTGTTGCATACAAGAGCAACCACACAGTAAGCTAAACAAATAATCCACTATCCTCAAATATCTTACAGTGACTCATCAACAGCTACTTAGGCTGAGAGGGTCTATGTCCTCCAGGGTACTGCGGAAGCGATACCCTGGGTACAGCTCCGGTATACCGCCGAACGTACACTGGTTACTTCTTAATATGCCGGACCGGTACCTCGCCCTAGCTCCACTTAACAGAGTATTTCTAGGGAGTTCGCATACGCCTACTTCCCTAACGCTAACCCATATAAATAGTTACGCAGGATACGTTTCGGTATACCGGACCGTACCTGCAGGGTACGTTCCGGCAGTACCCTGGGGGAATAGACCTATGAGGCGGCTACTTAGATTGCAGTACTGTTAGATACAGTTTTTTACTAGATCAACACCTGGCGTATAAAATCAGCTTGTTCAAAGCTATATTTGCCCAGCATTAACTATCAGGCTCACATGATGTTGGCCTTTATGGACAGCTGTGGCGATACTCGCTGTTGTTATCGACCTCTGCAACTATGAAGGCAACTCAGCTACAACTCTTGAGGCTGTCTCAGGTGATTAGTTTGATTGCTCTGCACGCCCATCAACACATCTGCACCATACTTCAATGTATTGTAGCATGAGTGTACCTACCTAGTATGAATGGACGAGAATAGAGAAGATAGCATAGATAAACTAGGAAGTTTCTAGCTAGATTTTACATACTTTTTAGCACTTTTTACATACTTTTTAGTACTCTAATTCACATAGGAGTATATACTCTAGATACTACTATCATGTCAACATCAGATTGCCGTCAGGTTTGCGAACGTGCTGCACAGGCTGGCTTGACGTGAAAACTGTGACCCCACTAGACCTCACACAGAGGCTGCCATGTACTTATTTAAGACTCAACAGAGTGTCAAGCACACACATCATTGGCAAGCTCCAATGAACATTGGCTTCCAAATAGTGGCATTGTTAGTTCCATCAACCAACTAGTTTGTAAAGCAGATTATGAAAGATACCATTAAGATTAATAATTTAGAGATGTCGCAGATGAACTCCATCCGGTTTGTACCTGACCTGTGGAAATCTTTAATACCCGCGGCGGCAAGGCCGACCCCTGGTAACGCGATGCTGCGCAATTCTATCTTTTAAGACAAGCTCATTTAAACAAGGCCGCAGAGCGTCTGGGCTCGATCTTGGGGTCTGTTGCTAGGGTTTATAAAACGTTAAAATTTCAGTTCGTGCCGGTATGACACAGTTTGTTAGCGCGCAAAATATGCAGAATCGCAGTTGCGTACACTGCATGTAGATTGCTCTCTTTCTGGGCGACAGGTGTAGCGCTGCGGCTGAGAGCTGTGCGACTGATTGGTTATGAACAGATGGTCTGATTGTCTATCAGATCTAGAATTGTCTGATGGTTCTTTAACCCAGCAAGACCGTTTGTTGGCTGAGCAAGGCGAAATTTATTATCTAACTTCACATAAAGTTTAATACTATATATGTTAATTCGGGTTGTGGACACTCCCGGTAGCCCAATTTTTACATATGTTATCGGTTTCCGAGCAGCGGCAGCGACTGTAGTAAATTATGAAAAAATGTGCTACTAAAAGCTGCATGTCGCGGCGGACAAACTACGCGGAACAGGCTCTATTGTTCCTCCGTGGAAATTGGACAAGTACCGGAGCAAACAGATAGCCGTTAATTCCTCGAACACTGGATGCGTATTTAGGAACCTGTCGCAAAGAAGTTGTTGTTGGGATCCCGTTATGAAAAGTTGGCCACGAGATGAGCCAGCAGTACGTCTTGAGTGTCTTAAGATTAAAGGAACGCTCCTATCGATAACATAGTAATATGGCAACAGATATTTGCAAGCACAGAATATAGGTAAGCACTCATCCATTTCACTTAGCGCTAGCCTACAGCTAAAATAGAGAGCTGCCACCTGTAACTAAATTAACACAGGCAAAACTACACCATACTATTACCCTCAACATGCACATGGCAGTGGCATAATTAGTTACATGTAACAGACCGGCATGGCTACGCATAATGCCATAGAAGATTTATATCGATTTAAAAAGGAGCATAACACCTTCTTCTAAGGCAAATTTGCTTACTTTCTGAAATGTCTCTGTGACATTGTGCCTCATTACATCCAGGCATGTATAGGATATCTACGTGGGCCAAACCGCGCAGGTCAATCGTTTTCTAACAAAACAAATGCCATGTTTAACGCCTCGCGGCAGTTGAGGCGTCTAAAGGTTATCGCAACACTCTACTGCTCCTCGCATGTCAGCGGAAAGTACATTTCCATGGTCCTTTTAATAAGCCATAGAAAAACTGAGTAGGTCACGCTAAACAAACGAAAGGCTTTTTCAATCGCTCCGCGTCAGGAGGGGCCGATGCGCTCAGACGAGAAGTCTAAAAGTCTGCTCTGCCGATTGCCGGCCATGGCCTTTGACCTCGTGACCTCAATTTCCTCTGGAGCAGCGTCGATAGCTTTTCCTCACCAGCGCGTAATAGCCCACTGCCAACTATCACCGAGCCTAGTTCGAGCGTTTAGATTCGTCGCGCCAAGTTCCTGCCTTTCTCGCCTTAACCCTTTAAGCCTTACAGGAGCCCGCGATGTTCCACCCCCCCCGCCTTCTCCTCTTACCATCCCGACTCTTGACTTTGCACTGTTGACCTTCTGACCACACTCGACATCCCACACATCCATCGTTTTCTTGGCGACTTCCCCCCCACGTCCCGCTACTTCGACCATCCCCGTACGTCCGCAGCCCCGTCTCTACGCATTGCTGCGGCCAACTCTTGACGGAACGCACGCACGGCCACGCAGACGCATGCACGGCCTGGCACGGACGATCATGCGATTCTAAAGCTGCATCTGACTATGTAGATGAGCTAAAATGAAGATAACACATTATTAAGCATTTATACATATCACATTAAAAAAATATGTTAATTGCCTTTTATTACTTGATTGGGGAAGCCATTATAATACTACGGTTGAGGCAAGGTGGAAAAGCAAACTGCCCTTAGCAGAATAACATGTTCAACTCTAATCTAAACTACAGATACAGAATAAATAATTCTTCCAATATGATTTAAATTTCCTACGACAACTACAATGTGCTCAATGCCACTGCTATTCGCCTTCAGTGTTTTCACGTATAGTCACCAAGTCAACATTGTCATAGGCGAGTCTTGTATCCTTCAATTGGACCCGACATGGCCTCACATTTGCATATAGGTTGAGGTCCTGCACATACAAAATTTATTATCTACTAACTAAATTTGTTTTATCTAAAATATTGACCAATTACATTTCAAAAAGATTTTTTTTTTGTGGCAATCATGCATGGGAGTTCTCCCTCATTGAACTCACTTTCGAAGTGCTAGATTTAGTGACGTGTGACCTTGCCAATGGGTGTTGCAATGGTCCTTTAGACCAATCTTATTCTTGTTTACAGACTCTATGGCTTTCTGTGAATGACATCCGTCCATCTGGTGCCTTGACTGGGGTGACAGCTACTGGCCATGCAATCGGAACCTGTATATATACATACCAATATATGTATACCATCACAATATTACTACGTTTGGCATTCTGCTAAGCCTTGCTAATATTCGTTTTTGTAATGCTGGACTATGGCTGACAAGGAGTTTCAAATCACTCCTGAACACAGATGAATGACAAGCTAATAATTTGCTACCATGATAAATAAGTCTGAACAGCATCAGGAAAATCACTTGTGCTAAAATTCACAAGTCTAAAGCTCTATTGATAGAAAATATTAGTTACAAAAGTATACCTTTGCAGCTTCAAAGATTTGCTTAACAGCTTCAGGAGATTTCTGGTCCAATGCCATCACCAGGGATAAGTGTGACAGTGCGCTAACTCTTGCGAATAGTTACGAAGTCTAAGTGTGTTCTCTCAGCCCTTGCCCTATTGAAATACGTATCAGCGCAAGTTATTAGTGATGACAATTTACCTACAAACAGCAGCATGATTGACAGGCGGCTCTAGCCAATCAGCATTGTGAGATGCATTGAAAACAATGCTTTGTAACAACTGCCAGTAAAGTCAACATTTGACGAGCAGATGCGTAAGCACTGTCACTCTCATAACCTCATAAATAATAGTATTTACAAGTCCAGGAATATAACAAAGATGGAGAGACAAGTTGTTCCAATCGACAGATCAACACTGCGGATTGCAGTGGAAAAGCAGCATATTTGCAATTACTATAGACAAAGGGAGAGAATTCTAATACGGAATGACAAACACGAAAAAGCTAAACTTAAAGGATCCTTTAGAGCTGGCACAGGTCGAAAGAAATTATCAAATTCTTACAAATTTTTGTGGTGTTATTATTAGTAGCGATCATCGCTGGAGATGGCCCACATTGATTAGATTTGAAAGAGCATCTCGTTCCTTTGATATGTTACGGTGTAAACTTAGCTTTGCGAATTCTAAAACTCGATCCCTGGCCTTTCTCATGGTTCTCCCATATTAGAATATATGCTTTGCAGGCTGGTCTGCCGCTGCTATACACACTTCAGACTGCTCAAATTGATCCATTCAAGCTTAAAGCTGCAGAGATGGGTGTTCAAAAACTATATCGATGATAGTGGCTGATGTTGTTTGGCTCTGCGTTTGACTGGCCTCCTCCTTCCTTGTCCTGCTTTCTCCATGCTAACTTTATAACTTTCCATTTAAAATTTCTTATGGTCAGGTGAGATTGCATCTCCCCCTCTTGCCAGCTTAAATGAAGCCTGCTTGCGATTGCCTCGATCATTGCTGAGCATTGATGCTTACGTTCGGCATGTCGCCATCTTCGAGTGTGATTCCCTTTTTAAGTTTACCTTCTTTGTTTCTGTCATTCCGTTATACGGGTATGCTAGTGCCTACTGCTGGCTTGCTGCTACTACTACTAGCCCTACTACTGGGTAATTGC